AATTCATATCATATATCATTCAACCGATGGCCTTTTATGGAAAGTGCCCCTATATGCAAGGCGCCCCTATATGCAAGGCGCCCCTATATGCAAGGCGCCCCTATATGCAAGGCGCCCCTATATGCAAGGTAACGTTACCAACCCCCCTCTCTGCAACAGCCTCTGGCCAGTCCCCACCACCCCCAGCACTCATTCCATCAACCCATTTCTTCATCTCGCCGACATTCCCCGTAAAATCGTGTACCCGAGTAACAAAGCTCTTGTCTTGAGGAGGATGATCGCGGTACTCGATGAGTGCTAGTCGTACATTAAACGCAGTACGAAAGATGGTTTCTGCGATGTAGTGGACGTGTTTTTAGACTTGTTTGATGTAAGACCCCATCGATCCTGTACAATCGACGATAAAAGCAAGATCGATCTTCTCTCCATCGTGTCTGGCATCCCAGCCCTCCATCAGGCTTTATTGAAGACACTAGGTTGGTAAAAAACAACGATTTATGGCGAGAATCTTACTTATTAACTGCAGAATTTCAACCAAAAGACAACAAAGTTCATGATTTTAGTAAAACCTTCAAAGGGTTTCTCCCTATCCCATAATCCCATGCGACCTCACACCACAAACCACAGGCAGCCCAGCTCTAGCTAAATTCCCTATTTAGATTTTACTTTTAAATGTGGTGCAATGCTTTATTTCCCTTTACAGTCCACGTGTCATTCCCTAGAGCATCAGTGATCATCGTTGCAAGAAGAGAAAAAGAACTGCAGAAAGTTGCTTCAAAATGCTTGGAATTAGGAGCACTAGAAGCTCACTATATTGTTGCTGATCTATCGAGCTTAGAAGCTGTGAGAAACGTTCACACTTCGGCGCTCAAGTTCTTCCAAGAGATTGACATTGTGGTTCTTACGTGAAACCATTCTCTGAACACTGGAATGAAAACAGCGATTTAACTAAAGTTCATGATATATTCGAAGTTAATGCTTTTAGCTTTATATATTTAGCAACTTTGTTTTTGCCTGAAATGAAGAAGTCGAATGGGAGCTTAATAGCTGTGTCATCCATTGCTGGAGTGCATACAATCCAGTTATCTTATTCATAGAATTTGCTTATCAAACACTGTACGGCCGCAAAAATGATCCCTGACGCAAAAATGATCCCTGCCGCAAAAATGATCTCAAAATGTCGCAAAAATGATCCCCAGCGCAAAAATGATCCCCACGTCAYCGCAAAAATGATCCCCTGGAAATCGCGGAACCTGGACTGAATAGAGTTGTTATGACTCATGCATATTTGCCCCGAATCGCCGATGGCAAACATGACCATGTTTTCATCACTTTCTTGCATTTCACTTTAACTTTGGCAAACCTTCTCACCAAAGACAAATATTCTTTTGTTTATTTACCACTCGGACTTGCCAAGTCTTTTTCACTTCACAAAGAATTGGTGAGCTGACGATTGTCGTT